TTTCTGCGGTAGACCAGTTGTCATCCAAAGCACAGTTATGTCCTGCTATTTACCCAGAGATGAGGGGAGAAGAGGATTCCAAAGGGTATTAGCATGTAATTGAATGTAATGGATTCGACTGGAATTCGAACTCGGCTCTCTGATTCCTCAGTCGGAGCCGTTATCCATTACTCCACTGTGTCTTTTTTATCGGCCACTAGCAGCATGGCCCGGCGTTGCCAGTGCTTGATTCAAAAATCGTACGACTCATACAGCAATCGCTATCACTTGGCTTAAAATATTTTTGCCCTTCCTTGCCTTTAAAGGAGTGCCCTTTGCCGTGCTGATGTTGCTAAATGCCTTACTTCTTGCCTATCTCACACTGCGAATTTTTTCTATGCTCTATACTAAACATTAGAACTGTTACGAAAAAAGAACTAAACAAAATGAACACAAAACGATCAGCTTTAAAAAAGGACTTGTAACTGGAAAAACCGAATGAAAAAAAGAATGTTAACAACAAATACTTTTTCACACCCAAACCCAGTTCTGCGGAATCAGAATCAACGTTGAGTTTAAGCAAACGAATGAGCCAATTCGAGTAAAGTGCCATGCAGATTTAAATTTTTCCCACTTGTGACGAATGCAGCTATCGATTTTCTTTTGCATGCTAGCATGCTAGTTAACATTCGTGTCAGTCAGCTGTTGGCTCTCACGCTGGCCAATAGAATCTTCCTGCCTATTCGTGGCAGCCAGCTATAGGCTCTCAATCTGGCCAGTAGAAAATGGCCGCAAACTACATGAAAACTGCTGTAGAAGCTTGAAAAAATCGATTATTTCCACTATCGATGGGAGTTGGGAAATACAACGTCGGTCTTGGCCTTACCACTAACTTGGAGCATGTGCATGTAAATTTTGGTGCAAATCCGTCGAAAATTGCGGCCGTACATTCGTTACACACACGCACACACATCCTGCTTTTTATAGATAGAGATTATAATTCAATAATCCTAAAGATGATAGACAGTAAAAAACAAAGAATAAACTCTGAACGTGGTCCGCGTGGAAGTATATGAATCGGAAGTCAAGTTCTTCGTTTTAGGCACCACTGCCACTTTGGAACCCATCATTGATATAGGCCCCAAGCTTATGGCCGTTTTTGTGTGTAAGGGCAATTAGCCAGAGATTATAGAACTTTCAACTGAAACAGATTGAATCAACTTTCAAATCGGGACCTGAGGTCAAATTTTGAACCCTTGAAGCTCTGGTTCAACTTCTATATATATGGACCGACTATATTAGAGTTGCAGAACTTGGTGAGTGGGGGGGCTACTTTTTCCATGGCTCATCTGTTTTTGACTCTACTGCGTTTTTAGCTTTGTTCATATTTTGCAATGAACCCAGTCAACGACGCCATTATCCCAAATGTTATACGTAAAAACCTACCTGAATTAATTTTCAGAAAGCACAACCATAACAGCATGGCATAGACAGGCCCGACCGACTGCTGCATTGTCCTGACCCCATAAAAAATTGCAATACGGTAATCCCGAAATTATGCATCTGCTGATAGGATAATCAAGTTAAGATCTCTATCAACCTGTTAACATATTCTATAACTGGAAGAACACACTTCTGATTATCTAGGTGTTTTTGTAAAAATTTAACTCTGTTGAAGTGTGCATGGATTTTATCTAAACGAAGATATGAAATTCCAAACCTGGCAAGATAGAACTGGACATTATTAAGAAAAAGAGCAACATCTATAGAAAGCTACTAAAAGAGAAAAGGTTAAGTAACATGTAAGTTTGCTACGTCTCGTCATCCATACCTGAAAATATTCAGTACTAGATTCTATCTTTACTGTCGCACCAGGACGTGTATCCCCCCTCTTAACAATTTATTTCTCTTTCTTTTACAAGAACAATCATTACTTCTTTTTACCTTTGACTGTGAACTGTAACCTAGTAGAATTATTTTCATTTGCTTTCTTTTCAACTTGTTCAACCTGCTACTTAACCCATATATTCAATCCTTATATTTAACCCTTAGTTGGGGGTTAGACAGATATATGCTTTCTCCAGTTGTATGAAAGTGAACTAAACAGACTAAGCTGGAATTTGAACTCTGATCGCTGATTTCACTTTCCACACAATTTAGTAAGCGCATCTTAAATCCGAGGCGTGGACCTTAAACGCTAAAAGCAAACTGACCCTCTAAGCTGCAGAAATGTGGTTCAACCGGCAAAGATCCTTGAACAGCACCCGAAACAAACGTCTCTGGTCATCAGCGAGTTCAACAAGAAGGCATCCTGCTTCAAACTACTGAACAACAGCAGAACAGATTATTGGTTCACATAATTCGAAAACAAGAACGAGAACACCATTGTCTAGGAGAACGTTTCCGTGGTTCAAATGCCAACGGAAACCAGTGAAGATGTTTGCCGTTCCCTTCAAAACTAGACAACTTTGAGATACGGGGTCGTGCCGTGGGCCAGCTCTGATTTCGAACAGTTCGACCATTTCACACGACGATGAACTGATATGTAGCACAATGCTGAATGTATTGAGAACCCAGTGTCATTCGAACTCACAATTCAATCGTAATTAATCAATCGTGACACATTTGCTATTACACTACGTTGAAGTATCATGCGATGCACTAAGCCTAGCAGAGATGTGTCACAAGGCTGAAATTACGGAACAATTCAATGAGGATTTAACTCAGTCGTAATCGATCTAATGAGACAAGCTTGCTAACCATTATCCCACTTTTCACATTTATAACTGTTACATTGCCTTTTTCTTTTGATTTCTTAGAAAATTTACAGAAACGCAAATAGACGAAAAGAATTTAAAGAAAGCTAAAAACAAATCACACATTACTAAGTCCTCGATTCAAAAAATATACAATAAATTATCTTTAAAACTGTATTTGAGACAGTGTTGAAAGAAAAACACCCACTGTAAACGAACGTATTTTTCAATTATATATTTAAAAAGCTAAGTTATATTTATTTTTTCAAATATATTAAAAGATTTTCTTAATTTAGGATTTCCGTCCATTTTTATTTCTTTGGGACGCCATCTTGTGTTTAAGATTGTTTTAATTACAAAGCTAAAATTAACTGTCAACACATCTGTCTAAACCTAATAATGGACACGAATTTTTTTAATGTAAATAATACTTTTAAAAGAACATAACTGTGTTTCTGCATGACATATATTCTTCTATTTCTTCCCTTTAGGTCGTGGGTGATCATGACCGTCCACAGCTTCCTCTATTTTGTATTTGCCCCTTTACCATCCAACCTAGTCCTTTTTGCTGCCATTCATTTTTATCAATTCTTTAAGTAGGTTCGCTGTTTCTCTCTACCCCTCATGTCTTATGAGTGTTAATTTATCCAAGCCCTCTTTCCTCTTTATGGGTCTCAAAAATTTCAGATACCTTTATCTTATCCGAAGCAACAAACCTTTTTGTTCAAATTTTTCTTCAAACTTCCCTGTTGCACACATGTTCCATCCATAGTATTCTCAACATTGATTGCTTCAAGTCTCTTTATCATCTGTGAAAAGATTGGCCAATATTCACTGTCATATGGAAGAGTAGAAAGTACATAGCAGTCCAGCACTCTTTTCTTTGTTTCTAACGATATTTTCCTGTTTTTTTTTAAATACTTTGCTTCATTTTTGGAAAGCCACTTTCACTATTCGTAGGGTCTTTAGGATTTCTATTTCATGAATTATTCTGTATTGAGGTTGCAAATGACGAAAGAACAGGGAAAGCTGTACATAAAATCAGAAAAGTGATATTTGGAAACATTATGAGGAAAAAGGCATGGAAAATGTTAAACTCACAAGACACATTGAAATCAAGAGTAGCTAGAAGAAGCGTAAAATGGCCAGGGAATTCGAGAGAATCTATAGCAAAAAAAGGAAAAGGATGTCAAAGAGGAATGGTAAAGAACATTACCGGAAGAAGAAGAAGAAGAAGAAAAAGAAGGGTAGTGAAGAAGAAGAAGGGTGGCGAAGAAGGGTGGTGAAGAAGAAGAAGAAGAAGAAGAAGAAGAAGAAGAAGAAGAAGAAGAAGAAGGGTAGTGAAGAAGAAGAAGAAGAAGAAGAAGAAGGAAAAGAAGGGTAGTGAAGAAGAAGAAGAAGAAGAAGAAGAAGAAGAAAAGAAGGGTAGTGAAGAAGAAGAAGGGTGGCGAAGAAGGGTGGTGAAGAAGAAGAAGAAGAAGAAAAAGAAGGGTAGTGAAGAAGAAGAAGAAGAAGGAGAAGAAAAAGAAGAAAAAGAATGGTAGTGAAGAAGAAGGGTGGTGAAGAAGAAGAAGAAGAAGGGTGGTGAAGAAGAAAATGAAGAAGAAGAAGAAGGGTAGTGAAGAAGAAGAAGTGTGGTGAAGAAGAAGGGTGGTGAAGAAGAAGAAGAAGAAGAAGAAGAAGAAGAAGGAAAAGGAGGGTAGTGAAGAAGAAGAAGAAGAAGGGTGGTGAAGAAGAAGAAGAAGAAGAAGAAGAAGAAGAAGAAGAATGTGGAGGAGGAGGAAGTGGAGAAGAAAGAAAGAAAGAAAGAAAGAAAGATAGAAAGAAAGAAAAGAAATCACGGTATTGTATCTAAATATAAATGTCGTAGATGCTACTGAAAGCCTCGTTTGATAACGGGCAATAAACTTGTCAGACTTTGCTTTATTTAGAATGGGCTCGCTTCCGTCTCAGAATACGGGCGCATTTAATATAAAATATTAAATAATTTTTGTGATTTTAATTTCTTATGTAAAATATATCAATTTATTAATTTTTAAAATCTTTCACTCCACTCCTTATTATATAAACAAAACATTAAACAAATTTATTTTCAGAATACTTCCTCAGAGCGAAAAAGATTTTCTTGTCAATTTACTCAATAAATGTCCGCATGTTGAGCGATTTTTTTGTTTTTTTTTTTTTTTTTGTCTTTTTTTTTTTTTACAGCTTAACATTTCTGGGTTCATTAAATTAAAACATTTCGGATTGCAGGAGACTGCTCAAAGCACCCGGTGTTCCCAACTGTTCCCCCATCTAAGTACTAACCCGGATCGAGGTTGCTTAACTTTGGTGAGCGGAAGAGAAACTGTGTTTACGGTGCAATTATAAATGTCGACAGTTTGTCTACCTTGAGTAATTATTAACCGCACGTGCCTGATGTAGAAAAACAGGTATTCCCCGTTTTACGAACATTATCAAATTCTTGATAATGCTTTGGGTCATTGGTGGACTCAATGGCGACTGCCTTGAGGAAATGTCAAGTGTCAACAGACAAATGAAAATAATGCCTGAATACTTTTGATAGTTAAATAACAACACGATAAAAGATCTTGTGGGAAGATATTGAACGTTTTTTTTTCTTTTGCGTACAAAATCCTACATCTCGCTTAATTTCGGTTGATATCTTCTCCATTTTTTTGACTGTTTTTTTTTTTGGGGGGGGGCAGCTGATCAGATTTAAATGAAACTATACAAAACGAAATGCTTACAGGTTTACGTTAAAACAAGAATTCCTGTCCGATCCTCGAAATTAAGAAACGGATGTGTTAAGAATGACAAATATGAATGGCAGTGGAAGGACTGGGTTGGACGTTAAAGGAACAAATACAAAATAGGGGAAGCTGTGGATGGTCATGATCACCCACGACCGAAAGGGAAGAAACAGAAGAAATAGAAGAATATATGTTACGCAGAAACAGAGTTATGTTATTTTTAAAGTATTATTTACATAAAAATTAAATTCGTATCCATATTTAGGTTTAGACAGATGTGTTGACAGTTAACTTTCGCTTTGTAAATAAAACAATCTTAAAAACAAGATGGCGCTCCAAAGAAATAAAAATGGACGAAAATACCTAATTAAAAAAATCTTTTAATATACTTTGAAAAAATAAGTATAACTTACCTTTTTACATATATAATTCAAAAATACGTTAGTTTATAGTGTCTTTTTTTTTGTTTTTTGTTTTTTTGAATACTATCTCAAAAACATTTTTAAAGATAATTGACTGTATTTTAAGAATCGAGGACATAATAATATGATTTGTTTTTAGTTTTCTTTAAATTCTTTTCGTCTACTTGCGTTTCTGTAAATTTTCTAATCAATTAATTTCGCTTGATATCTTCTCCATTTTGTTGATCCTCTTTTCGTCTATTTCAACTGATCAGATTTAAATGAACCTGTAGAAAATGAAGTGCTTACAGTTTCACTATAAAACATCAGTTCTCGTCCGATTCTCGAAATTAAGAAACGGATGGGTGATCGCAGTTGAATCCCCGGTGTTGTGATCTTTGTGACAGACCTAGCAAGCTGCCAATGGATACAATCTCACTACTTCTTTCTTAAATAACCTTCTCAAATCGAGACTTTTATATGGATGTCATGCATGACGCCAAACCCGTTCAAAAATATATAAACTGCCAGCTATATACAACCGCTATATACATATATATATGTGCCTGCTATATACAACCGCTTTCTAACATCTATGGAAAAAAAAGGCTTTGAGCCAGTGAAATCTTCGGGGTTTCGGCAAAGATCATCCTTCTTCGAACCTTGTGGACTGGCGCTACAAAATCACAAACAAAAAACTTTAACAAATAACAGAGAACACATCACTTGTGGACTGCCAACAGTAGCAACAACTAAAGTGGATTACACATGTAGCACGAAGGGAAAACAATGACATAATCAAGATGTTGATATTCCCCACAACTTCAAATAAAAGGTTAGGAAACTGTTGTAGAGTGGTTTCATAGTGGAGGCTTGCATTTGCACTAAGTCGGTCCTAAAATAGGTTCGACGTACAAAACGTTAGGAACTTCATATAATAGGTAATGACGCAGAGAAATCTAGTGGTGGTCGCTGATACTTTTAATATCCGACTAACGGTCGTCCGACATCGACTGACTGAAAAACGATATTTAGTCACCCCCCCCACGAGGGAATCATGTGGCACAAGGCCGGTTTAAAGTGAGATCTCCGAGCCCGTGGGCTCGGCCAAAAATATGCCCATTGAACCCGTATGAACGGGTTCAGGGTCGGTTTACCTCCCCGAAAGAGAGTCCGCCCTTCGGCGTAGCCTCCTTTGGGTTCCTCCCCGCCCGAAGGCAGAGAGTTCAACCGAGCAGCCAGTCAACTGGCGATATTCAGTCACCCCCACCCCACGAGGGCGTCATGTGGCACAAGGCCTTTTTAACGTGGGATCTTCGAGCCCGTGAGCTCGGCTAAAAATATGCCCATTGAACCCGTATAAACGGGTTCAGGGTCGGTTTACCTCCCTGAAAGAGAATCCGCCCTTCGGCGTAGCCTCCTTCGGGTTCCTCCCTGCCCAAAGGCAGAGAGTTCAACCGATCAGCCAGTCGACTGACTGACCAACTCCCTGAGCGATCCATACTACTCCTACTTATAATAGGTGGGAGAGTCTATTAACTATAGAATAGGTGGGTTCCACTATAACAGAAAGAAACCTCCATCAGTTCTGGAAAGAACGATAAGAGATACTGGACTTGAAAAACGTATTCTCCTGGAGAATTGTTTTAAGAGAAACAATTTATAATCTTCAACCGATAGCAGTACTGTCTGCTCGATCAATGAATGCCAAATATTTCTTTGTAGGGAAACGGATGGCATTGCCATTAGCATTACCATAATGCTAACAGAAAACCTCGCTATGTGGTTCTGGACTGACTGATCACAAGACCTACCTGTTGGGTGATTGGTGAGACCACTTGTGTCGCGTGGCCGGACATTTGACGGACAGATATTTGGCCGACGGACATTTGGCCGACAGACATTTCAACGAATAAGTAAAACTAGTAACAAGCAAGTATTTTAATTAGCATTATTATAAAGTAGAATACAATTAATAATTACCTCATAATTTAAAGTGATTAAATTACTAAATCTAAATTTAAATTTAAAAGATTTTTTAATATTTGTTTATTGAAATTATTATTTAAAAAAATATTTGAGTAAAAAGTAGCACCTAATTGTTTAAATTCGTATTTAACAGTAAGATAAAAGGTAGTTCATCCCTTTAAGATAATCATTAAAAGCGAAATTGAAATATCTTTCATATTGTAAAAGCTTAAGATTTTTGCTGTAGTAAAATGTACTTTTTCTCAAAATACATATCATCTTACAGTAATATTTGAAGTAAAATATAAGATATACAGAATAGACTTTAAAAAAAAAACTATCAAAAAGGAAAAATTATAAATTAATACAGTAAATAAATATAAATATATGTAGCACATTACGATCAAGAGTTTGACATGCATGTAAGTACGCAAGTAAATTTTCGGCTAAATGTCCATTATGTTAAATATCCATTCGGCTGAATTTCTGTCGGCCAAATATCCAAGTACCCTTGTGCCGTGTAGATTTTGAGGACATTCGAGCTTGTGTTTCTGATAGAAATCAAAAAAATTGGCCAAATGGTTGAGTACCCTTGTGCCGTGTAGACTTTGAGGACATTCGAGCTTGTGTTTCTGATGGGAATCAAAAAAATTGGCCAAATGTGCGAGTACCCTTGTGCCGTGTAGATTTGAGGACATTCGAGCTTGTGTTTCTGATAAAAATAAAAAAAAATTGGCCAAATGTCCGAGTGCCCTTGTGCCGTGTAGATTTTGTGGACATTCGAGCTTGTGTTTCTGATAGAAATAAAAAAAATTGGTCAAATTTCTTTTCAAAATCGCTATGAAACATATTTAGAATTTTGGCAGTTCAGAAAGTCTCTACTTTGATATAACTCGTGAGCATTTGATATTGTTGGCTGACTATAAAATCTTTCCGATTTGCGATGCGGTCAGTCTTATTCAGGAGTTGTAGAGTATTTACATTACGCTGAGCGAGGGTCGGAACTCGAAGAGTGAGTTGAAAGAATCACAGAAAACCTTGGCATGATAAGAAGACAAATACTCGGCCTTAAGAATGTTATGGAAAGGGATTAAAGAAAGATTAAATGGTTCATTATTAGTAAGATAAGATAATTGACCAGGGTAGCAGAAATTGAATGTAATTCTCACCAGACATCAAGAAAGTTGATTATACAAGAGGGTTGTCCTGAAGTCAGTCCATGCCGCCGAATGCAGAAGTATATGACCTTACACCTGTATCCGGTATTTCAAGCGTAGAACGAGAATTTTGGATAGATGGTTATATAAGCAACCACAGGCAATCTTGAGCAGTTGCTTTCACACACCGCACACGGTTAATTTGGGGCCTTCATGTCGCACAAAGTGACGACGTACTACGGACAATCTGAAAGATACTGAGAAAATACTGGAGTGAATAAAAAGTTATTTAATGAAGATTTAAATCTTGTGTTATGATTTAATTGATGCAACTGTCTTTATTGCAATATTTGAAGAAGGTGGCATCGCCAATATAATCATGAACCAACCAAACTCCGACCGTTAAGAAGAACCTCGTGAAATGAAATGTTGAGCGAAGAAGTACAAGAAAACGGATTATTCAACAGCTGGTGCGGAATATGAAACTAAATACATTAAACTGATGAATGGTTGGGTCTTTTATGGAAATGGTCAACTCAAAAAAACAGGAATGGGTGGATTAATGTTTTAATGTTTAAGAATATTTGTGCACGCAATAAAATTATTATTACCTATTAAGTTCATGATACTGCAAACATACCTCCTTGTGCAAATTAATTGAAACAACCGTTTTAGTTTCCTTTCTTCCACCATACGTTCAGTTTTAGACACACTAGGTTGACAAGGTGTAATCGATTTCTATTTTTTCATCCGATTAGGACATTTTCAGTGGTTTGCAGTAATATGAATCTATTTTCGGAGTGTATAATTGAATTTGTTTGACTTTCAAAAATATCGGGTTATCCATGATTGCATCAGATTTTATCACGTCCTGACACTATTGTCACGACTGTCGATTAGTTGTTCTACGGCCATTGTCTGCGATGTTACTCCGAGGAAGCATACGTAAATTGTAATACTGCACGAACACACCGGCAAGCATTACCAGTGAGCAAACCAAAGTATTATAGACTCTCCCGGAAACTCTCCTGATTTAAATCCAATCGAGAATCTGTGGTCAATCTGAAAGTAACGACTTCG